AAATTGATGTCGCTCAGTCGTGTCCGACTCTTTGCGACCCCATGGATTTCAGCCTACCAGACTCCTCCATCCATGGGATTTTCCAGGCAAGAGTACTGGAGTGGGGTGCCATTGCCTTCTCCGATGAAAGAAGCTAGACACACACAAGATTCCAATTACATAGAGTTAAAAAATAGGAAGAATTAATCTATGATGTTAATATTTAGGTGTTTACCCTTGGGGCAGAGGGTGTTGTAATGAGTGGAGCAAGGTGCAAGGGTGGGCTTCTGATTGGTTATAATATTCTGTTTGTTAACTGGTTGTTGGTTACACAAATACATCCAATTTGTGAAAATTAATTGATCTGTTTACTTTTATTTTATGAACTTTTCTATAGAAATGTTATATTTCAATAAAAAGTAGGGGGAAAAGAGAAGACTAGGAATGACATAGGCCAAAATGCTAGCAATAAATATCTCTGGTTGGTGAAAACATGAATAATTTTTGAAAAAAAATTTGTTTTTATATCTTCCAACTTAATAACAATAATCAGATCTTGTAATTTGACTCAATAAAAAATACAATTGTTTAAAAAATAAAGTGAGTGATCATTACAATTTTAGATATAAAAGAACACATATTATTAAAAAATTAGGGTATAATTTACACAATGTTATATCCATAGAGCAATATCCAGGAATGAGATTTTTTTCCCTTTTAATTTTTTTAAAATTTATTTATTTTTTGGCTGTGCTGTGCAGCATATGAAATCTTAGTTGCCTGAACAGGTATTGAACCTGGGCCCCCTACACTGGAAGCACAGAGTCTTAACCACTAGACCACCGGGGAAGTCCCTCCTTTTAATTTTTAACTGAAGTATAGTTAGTATACAATATTATATTACTTTCAAGTGTACAACATAGTGATTCAACACTTATATACATAGCAAAGAGAGCACCACTGTGATTCTAGTTACCATCTGTCACCAGACAAATTTATTACAATATTATTGACTAAATTTGCTATGCTGTACATTACATACCTGTAACTTATTTATTTTATAGCTGGAAGTTTGCAGTTCTTAATCCCTTTCACCTATTTCACTCATTCTCCTGACTCCCTTCCCCTCTGGCAAACACCAATTTGTCATGAATGAGATTTTACATATGTGAATTTTCTATATAAATATATTATTTCATTGAGGACTAACACTTTTTAAATGTAATATATTTTCTGGGTTAATAATTCTGTAATATATATTTATTTTTTTCATAAACATAAGTTAACTTCTCTTGATACAGATAGGTCTTAAATAATTATAATATGCAATTAAAATTTTGAGGACAATTAGTACCTTGAGGATTTCTTGTCCTTGCACTGAGTACCCAAACAGAGTAGTATTTATGTTCTAAATTCAATTTTGAATAGTGCTTCTATATCTCTTTCCCTTTGAGTGTCTACCAACTATCACTTCTTGCTGCTGTCTTCTGACTAACTTCTAGCATCTCCTGTTTTCTTAACTTTCTGCCTTTAAAGTCCATTAACCCTGGGAAAACAAAGGACAACTCTTGTCTGAAAAGCAGTTTTTTAAAAAAGCTAAATATGAGTGAAGAGAAAAAAAACCCAAATGATACACCATAGCACACTCACTAGACTGCCCATAGACAAGAATATAGAGCAATAAGAACTCTCATACAGTACCAGTGGAAGTGTAAATTGGTGTAACAATTTCAAAAACTCTCTGGAAATATCTATGTGAACTGAAATCACACATATTTATCATACAGTAATTCCTTTCATAGATTTATTTCCAATGTAAATGAATCTGTGAACCAAAAGACAGGTATAAAAAGGTTCATAGCAGCATTTTTAGTAAGAACCACAAACTGAAAAAAAGATAATGTCCATCAGCAATTGACAGGATAGGTTGTGGTACAATCATTCAATGTTAAAGTATATAATAATCCAAATGAACAAATATTGTTATATACAACAAGGATAATAAGATATAGTGGGGTTTTATTGTAAAAAAAAAAAAAGAAAGAAAGAGAGAGAGGACTACAAATGAGTACATTTGTATAATTCCATTGATACACCAAACTCAGAAACCAGCAAAACTAACCTGTGATGATAGAAGTCAGAATAGGGGTTTCCTCTTCAGACAAGTATGAGGGAAGAGATGGGAGGGGTGCCATTGGAGGTTCTGAAATGCTGGTAATGTTTTGTTTCTTGATTGGCATAATGATCATAAGGTATGTTAAATCTGTCATAATTTATCAAGCTCTGCATTCATAATTTGTATACTTTTCTCTGTATATGTTATATCTCAGTAAAGCACATAATTATAAAGTTAAAATATTGTATTAAAATTATGTGGAAGACAAATGATTGTATTGAAAGATATTCACACACTTTTTAAATGCAATAAAGGTCAGAAAATATCAAAAGAATTCAGAATGGGGAGTATAATCCCATCTTTTTACATTCACATTTAGAATGGAAAACATGGCATAGGTCACAGTCACAAGCACAGCTCCTTCATTTTTCGTTTAGCAAGAACTAGAACTATTTGGAGACAGGTAAAGTAGAAATGGCTGAGACCAGGAGTGTAGTTTTGTGTGGCTAAGGAACAGATTTCACGGAAGGATGTGCTAGAGGGAATAAAGATGAAAATGGAGAGACAGGTAGGAACCAATTGGTGAAGAATTTGAATGCTGTAGAATGAGATCAGCATGTCATTTCACAGGTAAGATATTGTCACTCAATGCTATTTTTGTCTATTAGATACAGAGGTAGTAGAAAATTCAACTCACCAAAAAAAAAAAAAAAATGTGAGCTGGACTTCAGGGGGAAATTACATTTTTTTTTAATGACTGCAGAATTTAAAACCCTCTCTGAACTTACCCCTGAGCAGTACCTGTCTAGACAAGGAGCTTGGAGTCCTTCTGGGGAAGGGGAAAGACCAGGATGAGGGATTTCATCAGATATGATCTCAATTACACCTTTGCAACAGTTCAAAAGATACTGCGCTTTCCACAAGATTCTCCGAATATACGATTAGCACAAAAACTGAACATTTCTACCTGGTAGAACATGCACATTTATGTCTTTAGTCCAGCTTGCTCCTGAGCTACCTGCTTTGCTACTTTAAGAAAGCATCTGGAATGTAGAAAATGTCAGGTTTAAGTGTTTGGCCCCTCATGTGAAGGTAGTGCCCTCTGAAGGAATTTCAGGGCACAAGATAACTGAATTCAACATTACTATTAAGAATTTTAGGAAGGATTTCAACTGTGGCTGCAGAAAAATGAAAATTTTTCTCCTTCTCAATATTCTACTGCATACTCTGATGGTTGAGAGCTAGGATTTAGCTCAATTACTTTGGTAACAGTCCCAGAATATAAAACAGCTGACCCCTCTTCCTAGTCAAAATGTTTGAATTATGCCTCCCTAAACACATGACCGGGAGAAGGCAATGGCACCCCCTCCAGTACTACTGCCTGGAATATCCCATGGACAGAGGAGCCTGGTAGGCTGCAGTCCATGGGGTCGGACGCGACTGAGCGACTTCACTTTCACGCATTGGAGAAGGAAATGGCAACCCACTCCAGTGTTCTTGCCTGGAGAATCCCAGGGACGGCGGAGCCTGGTGGGCTGCCTTCTATGGGGTCGCACAGAGTTGGACACGACTGAAGCGACTTAGCAGCAGCAACAGCAGCAAACACATGACCAAACATCTGAATAATCAGGTCCTATTCTGGAGTTGCTGTTCTCACCTCACGGAGCCCCAACTGCTAAATGAAGAAACAGAAAATCCAATCAGTTCTGTTTTATCACCTTCATCCTCATCTCCCTCCCCTCCTAGTGCACTTTGGCTCTAGCCACCCTGAATGACCAGTGTTATGCAAACTTTTGTACTTTCATACCTCTGAGCCTTTTCTGATGCTGATCCCTCAGCCTAGAAAGCCCTTATAAATTCTTCCCATCCTATTCATCACTTGGAGCTCAGTTCCTTCTTGAGGCATGTGTCCCCAATCCTAGACACTTCAGACTAAGCTGTAATTCATTGCTTGTTTCTTCTTCTGTGTTTGTACCCTATATTAACTGTCCCTCCATCAGAGCATATATTTTCAACTACTTTAATTACGAGTGCCTTAAATAAACAGGATTAATCATCTGTGACAGAGAAGGCACGGGCAACCCACTCCAGTACTCTTGCCTAGAAAATCCCATGGACGGAGGAGCCTGGTAGGCTGCAGTCCATGGGGTCGCTAAGAGTCGGACGCGACTGACGCGACTTAGCAGCAGCGATCATCTGTGATGGGCAGATGGTATGAGAGAAAGTACTTTTATTGAGACTCTGGCAGACAGGTTCAAATCCTGATCTCTTCCACTTGTTTTTGCCTGACTTTGGACAGGTAAATTCACCTCTCTGACTCAGGTTCCTTGTCTGTAAAATGAGAACCATTAAGAGTAGCTACCTCATAGTTAAGATTAAGTGATTCAAAGAGATAAGTGAAAACACAAGAAATAGTGTCTGGCACACAGCAAGTGCTCCACTATTTATTACCATTGTTTGATCCTACTCCAGAATATAAGCTCTACACAGAAAGGGATAATCATTACATTTATACTCTGGTGTACCCCTAGTACCCAGTACTGTGCCTAGCACGTGACACATACTCAAGAAATATATGCTGAATGAGTGGATGAATTAATGAGTCTGTGAAATTATTCTCATCTTCAGTATCCTCCCCTCCAAATCCTCTACTGCCTATTAGCCCTACACCTCACAGAAAAACTTTGTGGTGCTTCATTGAACATCCCTCGTCCCTTACCCTTTTGCTTTACCTCTGTTTATTACCCCCTTTCATGAATTCTCTCTAACAAGTTTGACTGTAGCAGGAACCACTCCAACAGCAGCTTGGGCCAGGCAGAAGTAGGGGGCGGGAGTGGGGGACTTAGAGCGGGGCGTGGCCAAGACATCGCAGAACCAGACTGCGCCTGCGTAGGCTGCGGCAAAACCTAGCTCTGTGAGGTTTGCGGTCATTGCTGGCTGGTGTTTGTGTAGGAAGACAGCTCCTCTCACCAGCTGTCACTTCTGACCCGCCCAGCTCCCGGGCCTCTGGCTTTGGCTTTGTGCTGAGGCGCCAACACATCTACCATCCTCTCTCTGACGGATCGCAGACCTCCCCGTTCCTGTCTCCTGGAACCATGTCTCTGGTAAGCAAGAATGCGTGCCACCGCAGCGCAGAGACCACTGCAGATTACAGCGACTTCCAAGGTGAGATGCAGGCTACTGATGTCTCTGGGCTCCCCGCCTCCATGATAGTTCCTGATGCCCCCCAGGGCCCTCAGGCGCCGGTCGACCCTCAGGTTGCCAGCGCTTCCCAGGCTGCGCAGGACCCGAAAGACCTCGATGTGCTGATTGATGAGCAGTCCCGACGTTTGGGGGCGCTCAGGGTGCACGATCCTCTAGAAGACAGGTCGATTGCTTTGGTGAATTTCATGCGCATGAAAAGCCAAATCGAGGGGTCTATTCAGCAGACAGAGATGCTGGAGTTCCTCAAAGAATACTCAGATCAATTCCCTGAGATCCTCAGACGAGCCTCAGCCCATCTGGATCGGGTCTTTGGGTTGAATCTGAGGGTTCTTGATCCCCAAGCTGACACCTACAACCTAATCAGCAAACGGGGTCTCCAGACCAATGATCGGATAGCAGAATCCCTGGACATGCCAAAGGCAGGTCTCCTGGCCTTGGTCCTAGGTCACATTCTCCTAAATGGTAACCGAGCAAGAGAGACCTCCATTTGGGATCTGTTGCTAAAGGTTGATGTGTTAGGTGAGCCCCAGAGGATCAACATCCCCTTTGGGAACACAAGGAACCTCCTAACTACTGACTTTGTACGTATGCGATTCTTGGAGTACTGGCCAGTTTATGGCACTAATCCTCTCGAATTTGAGTTCTTGTGGGGTTCTAGAGCCCACAAAGAAATCACAAAGATGGAAGCCCTGAAGTTTGTGGCAGAGGCCCATGATGAAGAACCCTGGAGCTGGCCAGAAGAATATAATAAGGCCCTAGAAGCTGACAAGGCCAAAGAAAGAAGCCAGGCTGCTGGCTTAGAGTTCTGGTCAGAAGACATTATGAATGATAAGGCAAATGATTTGGTCCAGTTGGCCATTAATGTCACAGAGGAGTTGCTACCTATACATCAGGATGAGCTATTGGCTCACACTGGCAAAGAATTTGAGGATGTGTTTCCAAATATCCTCAGTCGAGCTACTCTAATACTTGATCTGTTCTATGGGTTCTCTCTGATTGAGGTTGATACCAGTGAACACATTTACCTCCTTGTCCAGCAACCAGAATCAGAAGAAGAGCAAATGATGCTAGAGAGCCTGGGGAGACCCACTCAAGAATATGTGATGCCAATCCTGGGTTTGATCTTCCTGATGGGCAACCGTGTCAAAGAGGCCAAAGTCTGGAATTTGCTTCGGAGATTTGGTGTGGATGTAGGGAGAAAGCATGCCATCACCTGCAAACTTATGAGACAGCGCTACTTGGAATGCAGGCCACTCTCCTATTCTAATCCAGTTGAATATGAGCTTCTATGGGGTCCTCGAGCTCACCTTGAAACCACCAAAATGAAAGCCCTGGAGTACATGGCCAGGCTCTACAGAAAGCAACCACAGGACTGGCCAGAGCAATATAGGGAGGCTGCTGAAGATGAGGAGGCCAGAGCCAGATCTGAGGCAACTGCCATGTTCTTCTTTGGCCCCATGTGAAGTCTGAGGGAAGTGTGTCACTTCAGTTAGGTGGCATCAATTAAAGGGGCCTGGGGAAATGGGTACTGGGGCCACAAATCAGAAATTGGGCAGGGTTGGGGTGAAAAGTACACTTTGTGCTTGCTGTTAGTGTTCCATTTCTAATAGTATTCTCTTCCCTTTAATTTACCCTGAATTAGATTCATGATCAGTGTTTAAAAATAGAATTGCTCATTTGTCATTCCTGTCTTGTTTCATTATAAAAGTTCATATGTCTGCATAAAATGTATTGGTAATATTTACATCTTTCTATGATGTGGAAGAAAATATATAGCTTTTCTTTAACCATTTGAAATAATGAAATGGTCCCATACAGGAATTAAGTAACAACAGTGATAATATACACACAAGAAAAACAAACACAAAATCATTGGTCTGTTGATGTTCTCCCATCGTGTCTACTGTTTTATTTTTTAAAAATTACTGGCATTTACCTGTATTTGCTTTGTGGTTCCAGAGTGTAGTGAAAAATAAAAGTTTAATGAATTAAACTTAAGTACTATTTTATTCAACAAACATTTATTAAGTATCTGTCATGCTGTAAGCACAGTGCTTTATGCTGGAAATATAAGGGTGAGGAAGACCCAGTTGAGCCCCAGGGCTTAAGGGGGAGGGTCTGTGAAAGTAAACCAACAATTACATTATTGCTGTGGCAAGTGGTATAATAGGGGTAAGCTCAGAGATCTATGAGAGTTTGCAGGAGTAACTCCCAACTAAACTGCAAGTTGTGGGAGAGGACAGTGAGTGGGCAGGGGTGTCATACAAATGGAGGAGTGGTCAGAGGTGGTGGCAGGGGAGGATGAGGTGGTATGCAGGACTAGACACAAGTTAAACTTTAGTGACTTCTATTGTAAGACCTGAGGTTGGGAAGAGGGAGGGAAGGAGGGCTAGTCCATGAAGTCAGGGGCAGTATGTAAAATTGCTTCGTGGGATTTACATAAAGCTCAGGAAAACAATGTTGAATTCAAGTTAAGAGCAGAGTGAAAGAGATAAGCCTATGGCAGAGATAACAAAGATTCATATTCTCAGAGAGTGGGTCTTAGAAATCAACAATGTTTCTCCTGAAGGCAGCTAGTCTTGGATTTCCGTCAGACCTAACAGTCCACGTGGAGGAACTCTGAATGGCAACCTCGGCTACACTGTTTATTTCTGCACTCAAGCCGTTAAGGTGAGTGTTAATATTTTAGTTCTCTTCATCCAGATCCGGGATTTCGCAGCTTCTAACCCTGCTCACAGCTCTTCCCTAGAGAGCTGGCAGCAGCAGCTAATAATTCCTGTAAGGGAGCCCTGGCTTAGTAGTATATTGTACCTAAAGTCACCTCTAATGCAAGGTTGTGAGGGAAGAAGGGGGCTGCGTATCAGTGGTGTAGGTTTTATGCTTCGTCTCCTCCTGGCATCCATAAGCTTTCTGCCCTTTGATCCATTTAATCACTAGAGGCTATCCTCAACTGCCACCTCCTATCAGATAGAAGAGAGGATTTTCCACACATTTTTGTCAGTCTCAAGAAGAGAACAACATAATCGTCTAACGGCGGAGAGGGGACAGGAAGAGGGGAGTTACACTCTTTCAGCCCCAAGTCCAGCAGCAGTGCAGAAGGCAAACTGGAGCTGCCTGCTTGGGGAAGTCACTGCGCAGGCTCACTCCGAGGTTGCCTAGACGACAGCGCCCCAGCTAGTCTCAGACATCTTCCCTATCGTTGCATTCCCAGGGAAACTAAAGGCTAAGGGCGAAATTTCCAGTGACAAGAAAATGTGTAACTGGAGAACTAAAGGGATTCTTTAAAATAGGACGGAGGTGGAGTTGTGAGGCAGGAGAATATTCAATTAAAAATCTGGGACCTTGAAATAGTATACGACTTCCAAGCTAAACTGAGAGCCCCTCATTCTTCAGTCTCCTCGGACCCTTAATTTGTACATGCTTGTGGGGTGGGGGAAGGGGGCAAGCTGATAAGTCCCAAGCTTTTCTTGCTCTGATATTTTGGGAAATTGTTAAACTCCTGGATCCTCAAGTACATCAGTTTTTCTGGGGGCACCAGTAGAGAGAAACCTGCCAAGGGGAAGGTGTAGAGTCTGGACCAACCATAATGTAAAGCTGCCAACTTTTTTAATACTAAATTTATGCCAGGCATTGTGCTGGTTTCATCTTCTTTAGCTCCAATCTCACCACCAGTTCTCCAATAAGCGTTTCAATAGTCCCATTTGATACCATGGGAAACTGAGGCTTAGGTAATGTGCCCAAGGTCACACAGCCAATCAATGAGAGCTTGGATTAGAGGCTGCCTTTGGCTACAACGCATACTGTTTACAGTGCATAGCATCACAAGCCTTTGCTATGTCCTTACTCAAATTTATTGACTCTCAAAAAAACAAGGAACGGCTATAAGCCAGGCTGGGAGGGGCTTAAGACAACAGCTCTCCAAAGGAGGATGAAAGTGAGGCTGAAATTTCTCCAGGCTCTTCTTTGTTCCATCACTCAGGCTCCATGAGAGCTGTAGGGGTAGAATTTGCATTTCTGTCCAGTCTCCCTACTCTGTCCTATGAGTCTTCCCCACTTCATTCTCTTCTGCAAGCTTCCAGCCTTATCTGCTGGCTTTTACCTAGGGAGCATAAAACATCACCATTTCTGAGCCTCCGGAAGTGTTGGCTTTTTTTTTTTTTTTTTTGGTAACCCTGAAACAACAAGGATCTGATAGAGCTCCTGCCTTGCCCAGGGGAGCTAGGGATGCAAAAACAGAAGTGAAAAATAGCTTCTGTGTCACAGATGCCACATGTAGTCTCCCAGAAGTAACAAAGGTGAGGCTTGTACAGAACACATGCCAATGATAAGGGAAAAGGTATAATATCTTAGTAACTACAGCCATTCCTTTGAAGGTCATGAAAGGCCTGGATGTTCTCCTTTATTCAAGTAACAAATTAGAATTAGCACCCCTTAGGGGACACACTTAGGGGTAGAAATGAGTGTCAGGCAAATAATATTTACAAAAGATGTTTTAATTACTCTGAAATATTAAACACAATCACCAAATCTTTAGAACACTGGACCAAATACCCTTCTTATCTCTGTAAATTAATTTGTAAAATGGTACAGTCTGAGTTCATTTGCAGACTCTTTGGGCTATTGATACCCACCAGATATTGAAGTTTTGGCCAAGGTGGGGCTTGCAGAATGGGTGTTGGTTAAATATGGACTCAGTATCCTATATGTACAATGCAATCCAGAGTCCCCTTTGATCCATGACTGGGATTTGTGTTGGGGAAAAAGCATTGAGAATATATGCATGTTCAGGATTTCCTTGGTGGCTGGTAAAGAATCCATTTGGGATACAAGAGACTACCAGCAATGCAGGAAACACAGGTTCGATCCCTGGGTTGGGAAGATCCCCTGGAGAAGGAAATGGCAACTCACTCCAGTATTTTTGCCTGGGAAATCCCATGGACAGAGAAGCCTGGCAGGGTCCATAGGGTCTCAAGGAGTCAAACAGGACTGAGGGATTGAGCATACAGGAGCACCCTCTTATGGAGAGAATGGGCAGTTATGGAAGCCTTTCCCTGCCCTTGTCTTCATCAATTTCAGTAAACTTATCACAAATAAGCATTACAATCCAAGGAAATGTTGAGCTGGACTGACAAATGTGGACTTCAAGGCAATTCTCATAGCCCCAGGATTACTGTCCCTAAACTCTCCAATACCAACAATCTAGACCAACGTGCAAGTACCCTTCACATTTACACAAGGACCCCACAGTCTTGTCCTCCCTTCCTAGAGGGTATCTCCATGCAGGGAGATTTCTCATTCAACAGTTTCTCCTCCCCTTTCAGGACTACTCAAAAATGTCTTAAGGAATTTTCTGCAGGCAGGGTTTGAGGCTAGTTGCAAATAAAGTTGGAAAAGAATTATCAGAGTAGGTCCTGCTCCCTGAGATACTTTATTCTAATCCCCATATGAACATTCTAAGCATAAGGAGGTGATAGTATATCAGAATGGCTATGAACTCTGGATCTGGACAATGCTGGCTCTGTCACTTCCTAGCCATATGACCTATGCAAGTTACTCAACATCTCTTTCTAAACCATTCAAAGGTATTTTCAATAAATTGATAGAAAAGCACAGGTTCACACATTTATTATTTGATGACATCTGAACTATAACCCAGGCTAATTATATCTTAGTCTAGCAGTATTTACATCCTACATCAGTGATTTTAAGACTGCTAATTATCAACACCTTGGTAGCTGAGTTCAAATAACTAGTGTTTGTTTACTTCAGTAAATGTTTCAGGTGAATATTAGCCCTGGATAGTTTTGAATTACTGAGGTCTAGTTGCATTGGTAATATACTCTTTACGGGTCGGGCGGATCCCCTGGAGAAGGAAATGGCAACCCACTCCAGTATTCTTGCCTGGAAAATCCCATGGACTGAGGATCCTGGTAAGCTACATTCCATGGGGTCGCAAAGAGTCGGACACGACTGAGCGACTTCACTTCACTTCATCCGTAAGACACTTTTTAGGAACTCGTGTGTAGTCTCTTTAAGTAGGCCTCAGTGACCTACAGATAATCATCTGCTTTATATACCACTCCAGGAGTCCCAAATAGGGACTTCTCATATAAAGTGGCAGGGTTAGAAAGGGATTTGGGAGCTGAAGCCTAAAGTCTGAACAGCCTATCCCAAGCTGCCTTTCTCCTGAAAGCACTTGCTTTGGCATGGGTTGGCCAGGGTAGGGCATCTGTTCTCTGAGTGTCCACTTCCTTGAAATATAGAAGAAAATGAGGATGTAGAAAGGGAGGACACAAGAATATCATTGCTTCTGAAGCTGCCCTCTGTTCTCAAGCCTCAACCACACTTCAGAAAAGCTTCCTAGCTGGTAAGGGCTGAAGGCTACAGGGTACCCTGGAATGGGCCCAATCTGGATTGCCCTCCTTCTGTAATACAAAGAGGATTGCTGTCCTAGAAGAAGATGTTCATTATTCCAGGGAAGCAGACCACCCTGAGATCCAGTTGTGGAGGCCAGGTATGGAAAACTGGATGCACACAGGACTGCTCTCCTTTCTCTGGATTGGAGGCAGGGTGGGGGAGAGTATAAGGACTGGGATGGAGGAAGTAAACAGGGGGAGCTTTGGCACAACTGTTAACCATTTATATGATGTTTCCTCACACATATATGGCCATGGATATCCTCATAGTTCCTAACAGGGACATGCTGAGTGAAGACAAGTTGATCAGTAGATCTGACAGGGTACAAACTGGCCCCTGAGGTCAATGGCAGCACCAAAGTATCTTGTATAGATGAACTTCATTGCTAATCCCGGAGAAGGCAATGGCAACCCACTCCAGTACTCTTGCCTGGAAAATCCCAGGGGCAGGGGAGCCTGGTGGGCTGCTGTCTATGGGGTTGCACAGTCGGACACGACTGAAGCGACTTAGCAGCAGCAGCATTGCTAATCCTACCAACAAGGGGTCAAGCCCAGCTCAGCTCAATCTTCAGGTACT